TCTTTTATAACACCCAAGTTGAACTAAGTGCTGAGCCAGGTGTTAGTAAGGCCAGTGTTCCCTTCTCTGATGCCAGTGGAAGCTCTTGGCTTTTTTTTGTGTTGTGATAATAGACGGCATAGCAGTTAACATCCGTTGCTTTAGTAGTAGTTGTCTATGGGGGGAAGTCTTCCACTTTCATTTTTGAAGAAATTGTATCACTAAATGTATATGAAAGTAAATAAAACAAAGAAGGCAGACACCATTTAGAGGTATTTGACTTCTAAAGTATAATTATGGAAATTTGAGTACAACTCAAATAGAAACACCATTAATGAGATGGTTGGCAGTTAACAGTGTCAGAAAACCTTGAAGTTGAGTTGTTTTGTAGATCTTGCATTGTTAGAAAGAAACTGTTTATATTTTATTCTGAAAACTGACATTAGGATACTGTAATATAAGGTAAAATAAAAATGAAGAAATTTAATAGATAATGATTATGTTTTAGATACTTTCCCCTTTGTATTGTTTTATAATAGCTTTATGATAAATGATAAGAGAAAATATTAAATATTGGCAAATGTGCTTGGTAGCTTTAGTTTTACACTTTAAAAGAAATGCTGGCCACTGGACTTAACATCTTATGAATATTTTAGTACAAAATAAACTAAGAGCTTTTGAATTGTGCCATAGATTAGACTGAAAGATTTGACTCCATAACTATGTGGTATACCTGCTTTTAACATGTTAAATAGGGTTTTATGATACACCTGACCTAATGAAGGATATTGTTGGACCCTGTTAAAAAAGCAGAATTTTCCTTTTAGCACCAGCCATTTTCATTAATTCTTTCTCTCTCCCTCCTCTTCCCCCCCCCCTTTTAGTATTTCATCATTGTATCTGTAGAGCTCTCACAGAGTACTTACTGGTCCTAATCCAGGGGAAGGATCCTCTTTGTGTGTGCCTGCATTCGTAATGAATGATTTTTGTGTTCCAGAGAGCTTTAGGAATTTGGCTGCTAACTGATTGTCATTACATGACTTCTTTCACCTTCTGAATAGAATGGTTTAGGAAGAGCTATCTCCTTATTTTTTTCTTCTCTGAAGTTACCTTATTATATGTGCCATTTACATTAGCAGTACTAAAAAAGATGAGTAAGTAGCTTCATCAAAATTTAAAGCTCAGACCCATATCAAAGAAGATTCTAAGACATGAAAGTCGTAGAGACATCAGTGAAACCAACAGATAACCTGTAAAACAGATAACCGAGTATCACTGTATTTGAGGATCTGAAGAGAGTTCTGAGTACTGCTTAAATCAGCTTCAGTTTTACCAAAAATGTTTTCATTTACCTTTGACCAATTCCACTTTTAAGAAAGTCTCCTAGGGAAGTAATCAGAAATGGTAGTAATAATTTATGTCCATGACCAGGTGGTTTGAAGCATCAGAAAATTAGGCACAGCCTAAATCTCTGTCTTTTTCCAAAGTTTCTACAGAGGACCTGTCCATGTAATGAGAAAAAATATTTAGGTATGTTTTCTTAGAATTAAATGTTAGCAAAATAAAAATGTTTTTACTGGCTACAGAATACCTACAAGAAGTGCTTCCTTTTGATTTTGTTCTTAGGTCATACATTTAGGACCCCAGTCTTGGCTTTGTGTACTGTCTGTCACACATAAATGCCACTGTGGATGGGTGGGGAGGGTCACGTTGAGGGCAGGCTGCTAGTGCTAGTATAAATGAAGGAAGAGGAAGGCACTGAGAATAAAAGAGTAAAGAAAGAAAAGGAAAGAAAGATGTACACAGGGTGGGTTCCATTAAAAGTCCCCCATGATTTCAAGTGACCACAAAACTAGATATTTTCAAAGGTTGACTTTATTTCATCTATTTCTTTTTGCTGGACTTGTTTTTGTTTAACTATTATGTCCTCATTGTTGTTCTGCACATCTGTATTTCATCTTGCTCTTTACATTGTCTTTCACCATTTCTTTGTTGAGTCTTCCTTACATAAAATGAAATTAAATTGTTCAAATGTACTTTGCAACTAAGATTTAATTTCCCTTCTTAGCTATCTTGAGACTCTGCCTTTTGTTATTTTTACCTAATAGTGGCTTTATTTCCATCAGCAGGAATGAAAGCAGTCAATAAAAGTCAATTGCTGACTCTATGATTATACAGAGGGCTTACCATAATGCATATTGGAAATGTCTTTAAAACCCTTTTCCTGAATGGAAGGTGCCATGGCTTGTGCTTTATGGCCTTCTAATGTTAGATAGTAATCTCATTTAGCATTTTTCCCAAAGTGAAAACAGTGCATTAGGGCAGCATAACAAGCATTGCAGATCAATATGGAGGCAGAGCTTTACCATTAAAGGTGAATCCAAGAAAAATGTGCCAGAGTCTACTCCAGGAACTGAGGAGTAATTATGCTGATTTCCACTACTCTCCCCCTCTCTACCATCTAGTCATCAATACAGATTGAAACGAGTACAGAAAGGATCTCAAATGATGGCTACATGGGCACCCACGTCCAAAACAGATTACCAGACAGGAAATCATGGGGCCTGGAAGTGAGTAGCAGTATTGATTTGTGGCGATAAAAGTTTATTTTGACACATTTCAAATCATAAATAACTCATGGACTTTAACTTGCATGACTAATAGCTCAGCTCAAGGTAGATGCTTATATACAATTCACACTATCTCTTTCTAAGGAGTCCATGGTATTATCCCAATGAAGTATCCCATTGCAAGTAGTCTTTTTTAAGAGAAAAACTCTCCTTTTTCTGGTGTGCAATCTGTGGGTGTTCACGTTTACAGTCTTTTCCAAAAAAAGTACAAGGCCCTGAGTTCAAACGTCACTACCATGAAAAAACCAAAACTAATACAGTCTTTTCCAGAGGGTGGGGCCATGTATCTGGTTGGGGTTATTCTAGTCTTCCCCGCCCACCACTTTCCCTCTGCCATTAAACCTAAGATACACTGGAGACAGTTGTTGGCACTGAGATAGAATGTTTCTGATTTCCTGTAAACTAGGAGACCCATTAGTCATGCATTTGCTAGATTCATCTGACCTGGTGCTTAATTATGTTCTATTCGATATTTATCCAGATGTGAGTCTTGATGTCATCAGTCAGTCAGTAGTGTCAGTGCCTGTGCTCTTGAAATCTTAGCTGATTCCTTTTAATGCTGACTCTCATGGTAGGGGATTAGGAAAGTTTGGATTCAGAAAAATTCACAGACATCTGAACTTTGAAATCTTAAAAAGAATTGAAACTCCTGGGATTGGATTTAAATTCTGTTCTTAGGTATTTGACAAAGCAGTAAGGAATGAAAACTTAAATGCAATGTTAAAATTTGTGGGATTATTTTTTTCCCATGTATGTCTACTTTCCTTCAAGGATATTGGGAAGTAAATTCCCTCAGGAACCAGTAATGTGGTTTGCATTTCTATTTCTTGCAAGATATATATTAGCTTAGTGTGCTGCATAAAAGTAATAAGGAGGCAGATCACCACCCAGGAGTTTCCTTATTGATGGGAAATGTTCCTTCTGTCTTCTCTAAGGTTTGTTTTATTTTTTTTTTTAGAACCCACAAAATTTTAAATAATGATCTTTTAAGATTATATGGAAATAACAAATTTAAATTTCAGAGAGTTTATAAGAAAGACTAGAAGCATTTTGTGTTAAACCAATTTGAGAAGATATGAATTCCTAAATTAATGTATTTTCTCTATGTGTATTTATTCCTTATAATCCAAGTTCCCCTTACCATATTAACATTTTATTTTTGTTTGTGTAGTTGTTTGGTTTATTTTGTTGTTACTTTTCAAGTGTACACATTATAAGCTTTAGGAACATTTATGTTTGGTATTTGCTGAAAGCAGTTTGACTAAAATCTGAGATTTATAAATATAGTTGCAAGATTTTAACCTGGGAAATTTTTAAGTTTTCGTTCTTTTACCTATTTATAGTCATTCACCAAACTTATTGTATGACTTCTCTAAAAGCCATCCACATGTAATAGCCAAGGTTACAAAATAAGAGACAGTTTTGGAATTTGCATTCTAGTAAATGTAGATGAGCAAATTGTACCAGACTATTCTGTAGTCAGTGTCATGGGCACGGTGAAAGAAGCTAATAGAAGTTCCATGGGTCACCATACCCTACCAGGGAGGAAAGAATTAGCCAAATTTGTACACAGGTTACACTTAAGCTAAGTATTAAAAGATGAGTAGGTGTTTTCCAGACACATAGGTATGAGTGGTGGTTTGGGCACAGAACATTTCCAAAATCAAGAGCAACATTAGCCTTCATATACTTCTCATATATGAACCAACCCCCAAGCTTGGATTTCCCAGGCTGTAGCAGTGTGCAGGGTGGGGAGTGAAGGCTAAAGATAAGTCAGGAAGCTGATCAAGCACTGCCTGTTGGCCTTATGTTTTATTTAAGAAGTAGTAGGGAAAGATACTCAGTTCTATGGATTCAAAAAACCTTCTGGAAGACAGAGACAGGAGTACAGGGTGACAGCTAGAGACTAGGAGACCAGATTGCTGGTCATTGCTTGAATCTAGGATGTAAATAGTTTGTAATTCCTGTCACATCAGTGAGTATCAAGAAGAAGGATCAGACTACAAAGTTAGATATACAATTTTGGATATCCAACTTTGTGGGTGTGGATATGGGAGAGAAAAGTTAGAGCTGCTGGTTTCTGACTCAGCAGACCCAGCCTCAGAGTGCTGGCTCATTCATAGTGCTGGGCTTGGATTTAGGAGAGAAGGTTATAGTGTCCAGAACAACTTGTAGTATCAGTCAGAGGGATTCATTTCTTAGAATTCATTTACTCTGTGCACATTTTTATCATGGGAACAATTTGGTCACATTTCTTAAAATTGAAGAGAATTATTTTGTTAAACATTTGCAACATTTATGTATTATTTAATATTGTATACATTCTTTAACCTTGACCTTTATTTCTGAAGGAAGATTATTTGTTTCAGTTGTCTCTGTTTTGGTTTTCAGGCGCTATGAGTATCACCCAGTCTGTGCTGATCTTCAGGCCAAGATCCTCCAGTGTTACCGCCAGAACACCCAACAGACCCTCAGCTGCTCTGCTCTGGCTAGCCAGTACATGCTCTGTGTCAACCATGCCAAACAGGTGGGTATGAGAACCCAGCTAGCAGGGGGCCCAAAAGAACAGAATTGAAAGGCTAACATCCTGGGACAGTGGTAAGGATTTAATATCTGTGGAAAAGCTTTATAAATGCAGCTTACCCTTCTCATGAAGAATTTCTGACTGGGCACAATGGCTCCTGTCTGTAATCCCAGCTACTCAGGAGGTGGAGATCAGGAGGATCAAGGTTTGAGGCCAACCCCAGCAAAAAGTTAGTGAGACACCTATATCAACAAACAAAAAGCTGGGTATGGTAGCATGCACCTGTTATCCCAGCTACACAGAAAGCAAAGCGTAAGTGGGATTGTGGTCCAGGCAGGCCCTGGACCCTATTTCAAAAATAACCAAAGCAAAAAGGGTGGGAGGTGTGGCTCAAGTGGTATAGCACCTGCCTGGCAAGCTCAAGACCCTAAGTTCGAACCCCTGTACTGCCCCAGAATTTCTGTAATGAGTTGGTTAAGTCATAACTTCCATCTAGTTCATTATAAGAAGAGCCTGGATTCTCCTTATGTTCAGCTCATTTACTTGAAGGAAAAAAAAAGCTGTTCTATTAAAATTATACTTTTTTATTTGCCCTAAACTCTTTGTCTACTAATAATTGTATCCTCAGGGTCCTTACCTCACCCTCTTAGGCCAGTATTCAAAGCCAACAGAGGAAGGCTTTTAAATAAGTGACCAGCAGCTTCCTGTCCGTAAGCAGCAGGTGGTCTTGCAGAGAGCCTACCTGAAAAAAAGAAAGAAATGCACCATTCAGTCACTAAGTCATTACCTACCAATTGCTAAAGTTCACTCAATTGGGCAGGAAAAGGAAACTGGAAATAGGATATTAGGAAAGAATTCCCCTTATTTTTATATATTATTCTTGGCTCTTCATATCAGAATTATATGATATTCATAGGATGTGCATTTTGTCTAATCTATGTACTTTAGAAAACTAATGATAACCCTAAAGCAAATTAACAATTTTAATGGGTGACATAATTGCCTATCATTTAACTGCTTTAGCAGTTGGATGTAGATGGTTCTGAGAGACAAAAATTGTTGGAAACCTTGGTTCTTTCTGCTGACAAACTCCCTAGAGTTGACCCTCTAACCCAACTAAATATAGTGTTTGAGTCACACAGCATGCCTTTCTGCAGTCCGGTTTGCTGTAGTTATAATAATACCACTTAGTGTAAATTTCTAACACTATAAATATCTGATGGGAGGGTTACTATTGTTTGAATAGCTGGAAAATAACAGTAACACTGAGTAGTTGCCTTTAAAAGCCTAGTGGTTTGCTTTTGTCTGTTTAATGCTTACGGCAACACTTACTTATATACCTCTTGGCATATGGCAGGGATTCTTTTCTTTAAAGGTCTTTGCTAGAGATAATGTTACTAATGTTAGAAGTTAGTACATTTTATTTGTCAAAAACAGCTTCTGATATGCTGTTAACAAGCCCTAACCCTCAATATTAATACTACCCAAAACACTTGGGACATGTAGGTTGATTCATAGATTTTCTAACTTGATCCTAGTGCCTTATTGAGGTATAGGGCTAAGAAGTCAAGATAAAGAATGATTGTAACACAGTGAAGGTTTCAAGGCTGGAGTCTTAACACACATGCCTATTTCTATAGTGCGATACGGAACATTTCTGAACTGGCAGCCAACAGCACGGTGCTGGAAGTATTAGGTCCATCTTGACTACCTAGGTTGTATTGAATCATCCATGTGTAGCTCCATGATATCAGTGGTACATATTTATAGAATAAAAAAAGTCAGCATGTGACAAGATCAATAATGCCACCTGGTGCAGGAAAGGTAGAATCTAGCAAATCTGAGTTTATGTCCAACCCCTGTCTATTTCTAGCTTATGGCCAGAGCTAGCCTTGATTTTCTCATCCATGAATAGTGATTGTTACATTTGTACCAAATATTCAGTTAAATCATAGTTTTCCCTTCTTTCTTTCCTGGTATTATTTCATGACAAAACTAAACACAACAGACAGATGCATTAAATTATTAGTAGTGATTCCATCTTCTCCCCTCACTCCCCAGTCTACCTTATAATTTAGTATTATTTGCAGCTGGTGTATTTGAAGTGCCTGTTGTTTTCACAACTCTTATATCCAGTTATTAGAAAGTACATAATACAGGGTAATATTAAAACAATAAACACTCACAAAACTTTATTCTAAGATGGGCAACACTGAAATGAGCAAGAAACATAAAGCCACACCATCCTACATTTCTGCAGCACTAAGGAGTTCAAGGTTATTTCACATCCATTCTTTTACTTGTTTTTTAGGACAACAGGAGATGTAAATAGAAATGATTTTATTTTCACCATTTTACAGTTGAGAACATTGAAACCCACCCAGGGAAGTTATGATGGCAGATTTAACAAGTAGACCAAGATGTACCTTGCCATAAAAAAAACAAAAAATTCAAAGTACATTAAGTGACATTTGATTTTTGAGAAGGTAGGTAGGTAAAGGAATATCCATCATCCACTAATATAGAGAGGAAATGAAAGCAAAAAGGATAAAACAAGGTAAAAGAACAATTGGAGATCTAATGAACTAGTAATAGAGACTGCAGGTAGAGGCATGAGATGATAGATCCACGAACAAAGGGCACTGGGACTGTTCCGTTGAAAGATCACACCAAGATGACCAGAGGGAACTTACTGCACCATTTCACGAGTGCAGTAAAGTCCCAATTCTGCTCTTTTGTTAGGGACTTTGACAGTATTCATGGTCCTCACTGCCTATAATTGCAGTTCCAACTGGCCAGCTCCCCTTCTTAATGCTTCCTGTTAGATCCAGAGAACAGGCCAGACATGTGATCATGACAATGACTCATTAGATCATATTGTCCATTTCCGACATTGTATAGGGTTTCCCCATGGAATAATTCCAGTAGCTAACTCTACTTTTAAATGAGTCATAAGACTGGGCTTTCACAGGCTCCCTTGGGCACTGTTCTAGAGACTAATAGATTTTACTGGTAGGAAAACTTCCGGATATACCTTAGGCTTTCTTTTCCTTCCTTGTTATTCATCCACTCATTCACATCAATCTTCAGCCATTCTTAAACAATTCCTCATGGTTGACAAGAGACATTTAGACTGTTACTGTCAGTATATTATGTGCTCTTCATAAAGGTAAAGAGTTACTAAATTGCTGTTGTTATTATTATTAGACTAAAAAGCTACTGGCCAGTCAGCTGAAATACAGCTTTTTTTTTTTTTTTTTTTTTGCTCACAGTAGTGCTGAGGATTGAACCCATGGCCCTGAGCATACTAGGCAAACACTTTACCACTGATCTACATCCTCAGACCTGAGTTACAGCATTTTAAAGGAGATACTGGGTATGGTATAGCAGATGCCTATAATCCTAGTATTCAGGAAGCAGAGGCAAGAGAATCACAAGTTTAAGGCCAGTTGGGCTACAGAGTGAGACCCTGTCTCGGGGGAAAAACAGGAGAATACTGGTTGACATTGACTTCTGTGTCTCTCTTTCCTTCCCCTTGTATCTGCTTGGCTTTATAACTTTCTAAGCTCCCCAAGATTTAGTTACCATTCAGTCTCATTATACTTGCCTTACATGGAACTCAGAGGTTGTCAATAGTATTTTCCCACTGGTTGGGGGTGGGCATCCAATAATATTTGCTCACTGGTGAAACAGATGTGCCAAGTTCTGCTTTTAAAAAGGGAGTCAGGATATAGAAAGGACTGGCTTCCAGATCTACATTACCTCTGTGCTCTGTGACACCCCACTGCCTGCTTTGGAGACAGGAATTCTAAGTATTTCAATTGCCCATCCCTCCCCCAAGCTGGCTGGATTCAGTGGAACATTCTGTGCTCATCTGAGGGGTGAAATGTTGTTGCTACCACCCTAATCCAGTCATGGTGATGGGAACTTCAGTTTCTTCTTGGGTGAATTGAAGGTTTGAAATAGGTGATTCAGGAGGACCCTGAGCTCTGTTCTTGTGGGATTGATTCTATTTTCATGGATGAGGGCAAGAGGCAGGCATATGCTCAAGAGGTGTGACCTACTTAGTAGGAGCAGCAGTCCTAGTTCTGAAACCTCTGGTTTGGGGGCCTTTGCCTCTTAAATTTTACTGTCAGCCTTAAACTTTCATTCAGGAAGAATAGCTGCTCTTGTGATTGGTCGGCCTGCTGCCTGGTCTCCCACAGCTATAAACCCTTTCCTTGAGTTCACACTCCTGACAGCCCTTGGGAAGTCAAGAAGACAGAACGAACTGGGAGGGATAGAAACAGTTTCACAGTTTATCCAAAGTCAATGAAGTGAAAAACAGCTGTCTCACTGCCTGGCAGAATAAAGTCTCCCAGCTAATAAACTCTACTAGAAAATGAAGGATACCTTAGCCAACCCCAGACCCCTGCTACACTGTGCCTCTTATGCTATGAGGTATAGGCCATGGAGGTGAGGGAATAGGAAGCCAGAATCAGAAGAACCAAGGACACAATGGAACCAGAAGCAAGAGCCAGCCCTAGGAAAATTTCAAAAGTCAGAGGGCAGTCTGGAGCTTGAAGTCAGATAGTGGGACAATGAGGAGTCCATAGGCCACACGTAGACTTAAATCAGTAAGTTGGCAGTGGATCAGTAGCCATGCACTCCGTTCAACCCAAGAAAGGACCAAACTAAAGACACCTTGTAAGCAAGGTGAGCCCACCCTTCCTCCTAGACCTGTGCTTCCTGCCCACCTGTTGTGAGATCAGAGTATCATCTGGGAATATGGGATCAAGGTTCTGATAGATAAGCCCAGGCTTCACCCACGGCCAGCATACCCAATCCTCTTAGTTCTGAAATATAAATAGCATTTCCAATATGGCTAATTGTAAAATAGATGCCCTCAAGCTCAGTACATGTAGAAAAATTAGCCTAGGCAAAATTTCTGCCCACTTTCTTAAGGTCAGTCTGTCTTACCCACCCACCCCTCCCCCCCCGCCTTTAGCTTGGATTTGTATTCA